AGAGAGAGAGAGAGAAGAAAGAGGAGAATTTGGAGGTCGTTTTATAGAAAACAAAATTAAATTTAAAAAAGTAGCATCATCCAAGAGCTAGGCAGGCACCTTACTCAGAGCTTCTCAAAGGCCTGCCTAGGGGCTTTCTGAGGAATGCGGAGGACCCCAGCTGAGCCACTGGAATAGAAAGGATTCTAGCAGGAGCTGCGTTTTCCAGGATCCAGTGGGAACTGCTCAACTTAGGAAACAAAAGAAAATGAGAAGGAGAAGCCAACTCCACGTTTCCAGGCTAGGGGCTAAATCCAGTTGAAACTAGATGGAGAGGAGTGGACCCACATGACTTGTAGACTTGTAGGGCAAATGACATGGGTTGGTTATTAGAATTTCACTCTGTAGATTTGCAACACCCTCATTTCAGTGCCATCTATGAGATTGTGCAACCCTCCAGCCCTATAAATACTGTGACACTTAAGCTTTTGAAAGCCTCCGTCAGCTCAGCCTCTGAGGAAGTTTCTCCCTCTTCTTTCACGATCCCTTGAGCCCAACCTGCCAGGCACCATGAGGATTCTCTATTTTCTTCTGATCGCTCTGTGTTTGCTCTTCACCCCAGTTGCCCCAGGTAAGCTTTGGGACATGTTGGAGCATCACCCATCCCAGGGCTGGGAACTCTGGAGCAATGTTAGGACTGAGGACAGTTGCCCCCTGCGTCCTGAAGGATATAAGAGTAGCAGAAAAAGCATTCCTCACTTACCTCCAGCCCCAGTTTCGGGTAGTACTGTTGGCAGAAGGCAGTAGGCAAACTATCTGTACCCTACCCTATAGAAAAGGAGGAGCTCTAGTGACGTAGTACCTAAGGCATTTGACTGCCAACAAGAAGGCTGGCAGTTCAAACCTACCAGCCACTCCTTGGAAGGAATGTTGGGCAATCTACTTCCATAGTGATACTGCCTTGGAAACCCAAGAATCTGACTCCACAGCAGTGAGTCTGGTTTTGTGTGTGTGTGTGTGTGTGTGTATTTTACCCAGTAGAAAAATGAGCCTTTTAGAAAAGTATCTTCCCTAGTTCTCCCATGATCTCTGAAGGCAGCACAGCTGCAGAAGATATACATGCCTCAGCCTCTTGCCCTTCACTTAAGGCTCCAGCTCTCTGAGCTTGACAGAAACGTGATGTAAGGAGCAGCTCCCAGCATCTCTCGCCCTGCATTTGAGGCTTAGCTATTTAGAGAGCATCTTATCTGAAAGGGTATTGTCCACTTAATCTGTACTCTGGCTCCTCACTCTGCAGTGCCTGCTTCTACCCAGGAAAGCATCCAGGAGAAGTTATGCAGGCTGCCACTTCCCATTTTCACCCTGGCTCACTGAATAGGACCTCCCCAGGAGCCCTGCTGCAGGCAAGGTGCTGCCTACCCATCCCACAAGGCTAGCTCATCTCATGTGGAGCAGTCAGGCATTCGCAGGCAGTTTTGACTTTCTTGAGAAATTCATTCACATTCTTCATGGTAGGAAATCTCCCTAGTCAGCTGGAGGGAGTTTTCGGTCAGGTCAGAGGATGACAGCTTCTCTAGGTTAAAGCAGCCAGGTCCCTGACATAGGAGAAGATGAAAGAGTGCAAGAGGGATCAGAAACCTACTAACAACCAAGTGACATAGTCACTGCAAGTCACATATTTTAGGCCTTAGTTTCCACACCTGTAAAAATGAGTGGGCTGTGGTAAATAATTCTCAATGCATTTTACTCATCTACAATTCTCTGAAAGATGTTAATTATTCCTTTATCCAAGCCATCGCTTCATCTTATAGATATACCTAATTTATTCCAAATATGCCTCAGTTTTACCATCTGAAAACTGGATAAAAAAGTATTCTAAAGCAGAGTTTTGTTTGTTTGTTTTATATATTACCATTTGTGACCCATAAAAGAGGTAAAGAAGATGATTCAGTGAGTTGCAACCAAGTTCTGATTTTCGTTTTTTGTTTTTGTTTTCTTCCCAATAGAATAGAAAATATCAGGGCCTGTTTTAAGGCTATGTAGTAAGGCCATGCTGTTTTTATTGTATTGTTAATTCAGGTACATGTGTGTCTGTGTGTGTGTACTGAGTAGCAATGCAAAATTCTTTCTTGTTGCAAATTGGTTTAAATTCAAAAGAATTTGAAAGCCATTATTTTAACATAAAGAGTAGTTATTTTCAGTCTATTGAATTTAAATATGATTATAAGCATCTGATTCAGAGAGCGTCAAATAAAGCTTTTCCAAGGATATGCAGAAACAGCAAAACTTACTAATCATTAACTATAAACATAGTAGAAAATGCTCATGAACATGACACAGAACCAGGCAACATTTCATTTTGTCATATGTAAGGTAACCATGAGTTGGAAACAACCCAATGGCAACTAACGACAATAGCAACATTTGTTAAGCATTTACTATGTACAGAGGAGCTAAGGTGGCGTAGTGCCTAAGGCACTTGACTGCTAACCAGAAGGCTGGTGGTTCAAACCCACCAGCCACTCCTCGAAAAGAAGGTTGGGCAATCTACTTCTGTAGTGATACTGCCTCAGAAACCCAAGGAAGGTTCGCTTGGGTCGGATCCGACTTGATGGCAGTGGGTTTATATACAAAGTTAGCTTAGGTATTTATAGTCAAGCCTATCTATGCTATCCTTTGACAGTTCATAAATCCTTTCTGGATAAACCTATCAGTAAATGAATTCCCAGTATGGAGACAGAGACACCTCAGGAAGTCATTTCTATTGGGGCTGGCCCAAACCACCTCATGCTGTAGAAAGTGAAGAGAGCTAAAGGTGGTGAGTCTCTCCGAGTATGTGAGATCCCTGTGGGCCACCCGTTACTTTTAAGGAGCCAAGACTATGAAGAGATGCCCATGTTTTGAAAGAAGACAAAAGAAAAGGGCAATATTTAGTATACATATTTTCCCACTGGAATTTTATGTATTCATGGAGTGTCCTTGTCTGGACAGAGGTGGTAGGACTGACTCCCACAAGTGCCCTGTCTACTAAAATATATAGGTTTCAGCAGCCTGTCTTTCTCTGGGCCAAGCAACCAGTCCTTACATACTCTGTGATTCACTTTTTAGTCACTGATTTTGAGGGATTATCTTTGTTATTGTTGTTGGGTGGTTGTGTAGTTGCTGCTACTTTGTTTTATCTGCACTGCCCACAAAGTTTTACTAATTGGACTGACTATAATTAATAGCTCAGAGTTTAGTTCAGGGTAAAAGCTGGGTGCTGCTCATTGAAAGTGGTTCCTGGGTCTCAGCACAGGATTATGATTTTACTCATGATTTTACTCCCAGGACTTCACATGGGATCAGTGCACTACCATTTCTGGAAGAGCCATGAGAGCTCATCTAGTCCAACACGGTCATTTTACATGAGGGAAAAATGAGAACCACAGAACCTGAGTCGAATGGAAATTGTGGCATCACAGGGCCCAAAATCATAAGATTGGACATTATATTTTAGTAGCTTTCTTCTCAACCAATAAAAACATGATTGACCACTTTTATCTCTTATAAATAGTTTTCTGAGAACCCAGAATGATATCAAAATGACAAGACAACTCAAGATTCTGAATCAGCTAAATAAGAACACAGCACAAGCCTTTGACAATCAAGATAGCTTGAGGCTGTTCATTTATTCATTCAGCAAGTATTTAGTTAACAGCTACTATGTACATGCACCCACCAGCCACTCCTTGGAAGGAAGTTTGGGCAATCTACTTCTATAAATATACCACCACGGAAACCCAAGAAGGGATTACTATGAGTCGAATCTGATTCGACAGCAGTGAGTGAGATGTGCAGGCATTGCCCTGAGAACTGGGGATAAGCAAAAAAAATCACAAGTCCTTGATCTCATGATCTCATATTCCAGAAGCTGAACATAACATGAAACAACTGATTATATAATTAATTACGTTATTACAGTTGTGTTGTGAAATTGTATTAAGTAGAGGGTGCAAAAGAACTCATGACAATAGGCATTGGACTGGTCTTGAGGAGTCAGGGAAGACTTTCTTGAGGAAGCTGAGAAATGAAGGAAAAATTGAAGTACTTTTTGTTCACAAGGTGCTTTCAAAAATAAAATTTAATTCCTTTCCAACATTTAAAAATCAGGATATGGCACATAAATTCAGATTTTTATCTTGTCTGGGAAAGCAAATCAAAACAAAAGATCTAGCAACATTCCTACATGAAACAATGAGCTCAGCTAAGTAATGGCTGCTCCCTCAACTCCCATTTTCACCACAGGCCTCACTTCCTCAACCCACAGCACACATTTATGTTATATGCCTGCCTGTTTTGGGCATCTAAATTTGAAGCTCTGAATTAAATAAACTAGTGAAAGGTGAGGGGGCAGGTATGAACAAGGACAAACCAGACAGAAAGGATAGCATGTATGAAACTCCTGAGATAAAGAGGAATAAAAGCAATAGTTGTTGATTTAATCTTCACACCAGTCCTAGGAGACAGAACAAATTGTTATCCCCATTTTATAGGTAAATGACTTGTAATAAGGAGAACAAGAACTCAAACCAAGCCATGCATCTCCAAAGTGGGCATCACACTGCCTCTCCTGGTACAGCATGTACCTGAGGAGCTGAGAAGGGTTAGGAATGGATAGGAATCTGAGACCTCCAAAGTGAAATGGCACAGTTGTGGTCTGGGGACAGATCAGGCGAGGCTTTCTGGGGCATGATGAGCATCTGGGTCTGGATGAGCCCCTAAAGATTTTTAAACTGGAAGAGCTCCATAATCAGAAATGGCTTTTATAAAACATCAGTTTGGCTGCAGTGTTGCGACTGACCAGAAGAGAGTAAGGTGGGTACAAAGAGGCCAGTTAGGACATTAAAACAGATCCATTTCTATTATAATTGTTTATTTTTCCCCAGGACCATGACTCCAGCATAGCAAAATTGACCAACTAATACAAGCATTGGTCATTACTCAGTATTCTTTCCTTTCCCTCCGAGACCCTACATGCATTCTTGGTAGACTGACCTAGTTTTCTTATCTTTAAAATGAGGAATTGGGCAAAATGACTTCCAGCTCTCACATTCTGTAACTCGCAAACTCAGCCCTGTCTTGCACATACCTGAGTGTTTCACTCTGTAATTCCCAGCCCAACCTGCTTACCCTAATTCCTTCTAACTACCTGACCTCTGGCAACAGCGACTAGGAACATGCCAGCCATGGTCATGGTCTCTGAATGCATCCAGAAAAGTACACTCCCCATTGCCTCAGATATATGGCCCCTGTAGCCTTTAAGCCAAGCTTAACAGGGGCACCTCATAAGCAATTGACAGGAAGCAACTGTTGTCAAAAAAAAAAAAAAAAAACAGTCACAGAAATAGCATATGTGGCATTTTATAGTTGAAAAGGAATCCCTGGGTGATGCAAACATAAGCACTTGTCTACTAATTGAAAGGCTGGCAGCTTTATTCTACTCAGAGGTGCTTTACAAGAAAGGTCAGGAGATCTCACAGCCATTGAAAACCCTGTGGAGCACAGTTCTTCTTTGACACACATGGCATCTCCAGGAGTCAGAATTGACTTGACGGCAACTGTTTACAGCTGAACAAAGTAGCACTATGAAAA